ACCTATGTACTAGGGAGAAACCTCCTGGTTTCGGGTAGGGCTCGGTGGCATATCAGTGATATCTTCATAGCCTGAAGTTATTACTTTCATGTTCATCGAGCATCTGCCTGCGCGGCGTCTGTCTTCGCGGTGGATTGCAGCATCCCTGCGATTCGCATCCGGCTGGTATGTGGGATGTCGAATGGACGTTTCTTGCATGTAGTAGGGCAAGGTGATCTCCTTGCTCCAGCTAGGAGTCGGCGGGTACTCCTTTGGCCATACTAACCGGCTCTTTGCAGAGTCGAGTATATTCAGAAGCGGCTGAAAAGCTTCTTCCCAATTATGACATCTTGTGCTCCGAGGTCCAGGAGTACAAAGGGGCAGTTATATATCTGGCGTCCTTCGACTGTTAAGTGTAACCGAATATACTCCGATACGTAGCCTTGGATTTTGCGCTGAAATCCACGTATGGGTACAGAGTAGGGTAGTTTCCGTATGGGGCTCTGAAGCGCTTTCGACAGTCATATTGCGATTATTAATGACAAGGTAGCCATTTGCTCCTGTGTCTGCTAGGGACTTCGTTTTGTTCATACTCAGGGTGTGTCGACTAAGAATTGGGTACCTCCCAGGAGTTCTCGTAAGTCTAGTCCTTGCAGGTCACATTTGCATAGACCTAGGAAGGAGCCTTCTCCTAGGCCTCGTCATTTTTCTCTAGGGACGCATCCAATTGAAGTTCCACGGCTTCCTCCCATTGTTCTTCTGCCTCAGGGTCGTTACGGTCGATTTCCTTTAATAGTAGCATTAAGGGGCATTTGTCCTGGAAATGGCCGGGCTTGCCACACTTGAAACAGTTTCCTGAGAACGCTGGGACTGCGGTCTTCACGCACTCCAGCATCATGGCTTGGGGAGGAACGTGGTTCGGGTAAACAGAGCAGGTGTGGCTCGAGTCAGCTTCGACGCCGACGCCTTTGCCGTATCCATGGTATGTGTGGACGTCCTTGCGAGACGTCGCTAAGGCAGTGGTCCTCATTGACTACGAGTCAGTCCCGAATCGAAGCGCTCCATTGTAGGAAGGTATGTTCTATCCCATCGCTGAGCGGAGTGATTCTCTCCGAGATGGTAGATTTCTTATAGCGAGTCGGTGGGTCCTCGGTGTGCATTCGTGATGTGCTTGGGATCGATGGAGAATGAAAGTCTTGAAGAGGCGGCAATTGAACTGTCGCAGGGGTGTTTGTGTGCGAGGCGTTCGTTGCTCTGCAGCTTCGACTGTGGGTATGGTGGCGTCCACCGGCGGTGTGGACGGGATTCTGGTCTGGGCTGCCGTCAGGGTAACTAGTAGATCCTTGACCTCCTGTATCTGTGCTTCGAGGTGGGCCATTCGACTCGGGATGTCTTCGGATGGCACAGCGGTCATAGCTGCAGCGGTGGTTTGTCTGGTAGTCATTCTGGGCAGTTGACCGTCGTTGTCTTGGGGGTGTTTGATGTCAGCTTTTTTAACATATTGCCTCGGGTGTGTATCGGTATCGGTACGAAAGAGCTTGACTTCCGGTAGCTCGTAGCTATCAATGCTCTTGTCCACAATTTCCTCTGTGCTAGGAGAGGGTTCTTAAGGATCTTGTATCCTATTTGGCGCCAACGCGTCGGCGACTTTACCAGCTTGTTCTGAAGAATCAAACCCTGATCCACTGGCTGTCTGTGAGATCTCTGGAATCACGGCTATTTGAAGTCGTCAGGTCTCTCCTCTGAAACATCACCGAGTCGCGGTCAATGTTGTAATGTAGTTCTCCTTAGTCGTTCCGGTGTGGGATATTATTGAAGTACGGCTGTCCCCGGTGTCATACTGACATTCGTTGCACTCAGTTTGCTATCAAACTCAAGAGCAAACTTGGAAATCTCCTCCTCAAAACCTACAAGTCACTATACATATTTTGGCTTATCACACCAACAACAAGAGCAATACTACTCAACGATTGCTACAACCATCTATGATTCATTACACGTCATCGCTCCTTAGTTACTGGGCCGATATTACCACATAGCATATCTCTACAACCCTCTATGATTCATTACATGACATCACTCATACTACCACATGACATATCTCTACCAACTAGAGGCCTAGGAGCATGAACGATAGCTCTAAAAGCTCCTACGAACCTCTATAATTCATTACATGTCATCGCTCTTTAGTTACCCACAAGATTGGTTAAGTTATGACATAATTTGTCTATGACATAATGTCTATGACATAATTTGTCTATAGGGGTACTCTGACCTTGGACCTCCTTTTACTTCCTATAGGCTACAAACCTAAGAGATGGTTCTATGGATTCTCTTACGTCGACTACAGTTACCAAGCCTGGTAGTCAGTCTGGTCCTAGCTACAAAGTCATGGAAAGTCTTGGAAAATGAGAGAACTACACTCCTTTAGCATAAATAGGATTGCCCTTTCCTTAAGAAAGGGCAAGCAGACAATACAGTAAATTGACTATCACATACTTCCACATCTTTTCCAAGCTTCCAAACATTGATCTTGTTACTCCTTGTTTCTGAAAAGTCATTGAGGTGCTAACCTCTGACTTATCCCTGAGTTCTCAGACTCAACATTTGTTACAACTTGTCTAAACCACTAATCATACACCTGATTGCTGCGTTTTGGAATAGTCTAAGCTATGACCCTTTGGCTCTTTTTCCTAAGACAGTGTGTTGTCTTAGTAAAATCATCCCTTCCTTGGGTGGCTAGATTCTCACATCTCGTGCACCAACCATTACATCTATGACCATCGTAACACCCTTATGCCACTATTCCCAGTTTCCGTAAAGTCAATCAGAACTTGGAGGGCTTGTAGAACTGCCTGCGTAGAATAAACCACCGGCAGTCTGAGCTCCTCCCCATCGTCATCATCTTGACCTTCATTAGGAGGCTGGATATATTGTTCAATGACCTCTTGTAGTACTATACCCCCTCACTATCTTGTATACCCTCTTGTATTGTCTCCTCCGCTGGGTTTAGAAAGTTTGAAAGGTCCATCGCATCGTGAATTCGGCTGTGCTGTTGTACTTGGTTGTAAAGGTCAGTAAGAGGCGGAATGTGCTCAAGAGTAAGTTGGATCGGGTTTTTGATGATTGTGCTTTTGCGGAAGCAGTTGTAGATAGTCGTATTTGAGACATCGTGATACCACGATCGGATGATCCAGCGAAGGGCAAGGTGTAAGTTAATAGTTTTAAGAGGATCTTCATTGTTGTTGAAGGTGTTTAGCATGAACGCAAGCCATTGTCGACGGTAATGAGCTTTAAGGGAGGCAATAATGCCTTGATCAAGGGCCTGGAATCGACTTGTTGCATTTGCTGGTAGCCAGATAATTTGTATATTTGAGGGCGGAGGCGTTGTTTCAACGGCAGCAATATGTGCTGAAAAGTTGTCCATTGTTAGCAGGATCTGTCTATGAGAGCCTATATGTAAATAGAAAGTTCTTAGCCATTCTGCAATAATAAACTGATTCATCCAAGCCCTCTTGTTCCATCGCCAATAACCTCCCATTGCTTCAACATTAATATACCAGAGTGCTTGAGATCAGCTCCCTGTACAGTTTGTACAACAAACAACTGATATTCGCGCCTTGTCCTTCTTAAATCCTGGCTGTGATATTGTTGAAAGACCCTTCGAAGGAGTCAGCTTCCAAAAGAGCCTAGTTTCGTCCATGTTGTATGTCCTCATCTTGATATTCCCCTGCTATTGTCTGTATCCCCTTCATTTCTTCCTCTGCTTGTGTAGGAACTGAGCTTGCTTCACCGTGTTGAGTATAACACTTAATCTTATGCCGTCTTTTAAAATTCGAAACCCAGCCTTGAGAGAATTGAGGCGTAGGCTGGTTGTGGTATGTATTGTGAAAGTTGCTCCCAAATCGGTTTAGCGCGTAGTTGTAGTATATCGGTGCTTGTAACTCCTCCCTTGCTTTCAATAAGCTGCGCCATTCAAAGAGGACTGCTTCAAGGTCAGGCCAGGCAACAGCTTTGCGACAGTGAGTTGATTGCTGAATTGTGTTAAGAGGTATTGCATTGAGGTTGGCGTATCGAAAGCTCAAAGATTCAGAGACTGTTGACTGTCGAATGCGATGGCCGAAGGTTCTAAAGAACCAGTTTGCGAAGGCTTTTTGGTGACTGGTGAGCATACCAGTTTCAGAGTGCGCGACGACGCTGCTCAATCGTCATTGTAAACAGCTGATTTCAAGGCATCTTTGGCCTATGTAATGTCGGTATAAGACGATATCTGGTCAAATCAGTTCGATATTGAGTGTATTGTAGTTTTGGTGGGAAAATAAAGAATCCTACAAAAAATATCGAGTTGGCATGAATATCCTAATCATCGACTTATCGCGTGAGAACTGTACTGCTCCGAAGCCTGGCCATAATAAAGCTATTTCGGTTATTCCTTCCTGATTACTAATCCATTCTGCACAGCGGGAGCTCTAAAGTGACATGGGACTGGGAAGACGACAGCTAAATAGAGTGAGGAGTAAAGAGCAAACAAACTCGTACTTGCTTATCCCTACCCCTAAACCTCCGAAGGAGGAGACTGCACATAAGGTAGTACATAATATAATGATGGACATAATGATAGACAGGGAGCAAAATGGTGGGCTATGAGGCCCCAGAATCCCCTCAACATGACGTACACACACACCTTGGCCGCTGAAGTGATGTATACTCACTTGTGAGATGCAATTATACCCACCAGGCGCTCTCCAACCCCTCTATTGTCCTCCACGCCTTGCGAAACAGGTTATATTTGCTACTGGCCCTCAACGCCCCGCAAGCAACCGCAATCCATTTCGCTGCTATCCATCACTGTTAACCTAAGTTATCTATACCTATACACCGTGGCCTTGCCTTGTTTCCACCTTCCTTCCACTACCTCCATCCATATAATTCGCCAGGTATCTTCCTCCGCAAGTGCTAAGTAGGACCCTCTATATCGGCTTGCGCAGGTACACAAACCACAAGTAGTGCCGTTCCTGATCATGGAGCCAGGAACGGAAGATTCGAAAGACGCGTTACCAGCTGCAATCATTGCCCAAGCAGAAGCGGCATGTGTTGGTAATGCAGACGAAATTCGTTCAACACAACAGCGGGAGTCGTATATTGCATCTCAGCCTCACCAGGCGACGTTGGGGGGTGCTCATAGTTCACCCGAAGCTTCCAGGTAGGCGCCGATATACATATCAAACCTCACAAGCACTGACCATTGTCTCTAGCTCGGCCGATAGAACCTCACATCCTGGGAATTCCGATTTATTGGGAGTCGAAGGAACAGAAGATGCTCCACCAAAGTACAGCGAATTAGAGATCAGCCAAGATGGCCTTGATACGAAGGCGAGAGTCACTGGTAGTCTCCCTCAATCCTGGCACTGAAGTGATGATTGGCCAGATACATGTACTGAGATGTCAATTCGCAGATGATGGTCGTGTCAATATCACCATAAACCAGAAGACCCGGAGACTATCTGAGCTCCTTAACCCTGCACTGAGGGGCCAGCTATCCCTGGTAGCACAGGAGGACGATCAACCATTACCCCCAGGGTATATCCCACCTCCCCTTGGTGGGCAACCAGGACAGATTCCTCCGCCAAACCTCAATGTCGTAATTCTTGTTGTTGGTTCTCGCGGAGATGTGCAACCATTCGTCGCGTTAGGGAAGGTCTTGAAATCTGCCTATGGGCATCGTATACGATTAGCAACCCACCCGGTTTTTCAACCGTTCGTGGAAGAAAATGGCCTAGAATTCTTCAGTATAGGTGGTGACCCGGCCGAGCTAATGGCCTTTATGGTTAAAAATCCTGGGTTAATGCCCGGGATCGATTCGCTCAAGAGCGGTGATGTAGGAAAGCGGCTCAAGGGAATGGAAGAGATAGTTCTTGGTTGTTGGCGGGCCTGTATCGAAGCAGGGGATGGCCTCGGACCGGCACCACGACTGGAGGGGGGTATAAATATGGACACCAACCCTACTGAGAGGCCATTTATTGCGGATGCTATTATTGCCAACCCTCCAAGCTTTGCACATGTCCACGTTGCGGAGAAGCTGGGTGTGCCCCTCCATATGATGTTTACGTATGTACAAATTATCAAATCCAGTCGGCAGGTTGCTAACACAGCAATAGCATGCCATGGTCGCCTACTCAGTCCTTTCCCCACCCCCTTGCAAGTATCCAGTCTTCCAATGCCGACGTGAACATGACGAATTTCATCTCATATGCTTTAGTAGAAATGATGACTTGGCAAGGTTTAGGGGACCTTATAAATCGTTTCCGCGAACGCGTTCTGGGCTTGGAACCAATAAGTGTCATATGGGGCCCAGGAGTGCTGAGTCGACTGAAGATACCTTGCACATACTGCTGGTGAGAACCCCGTTTAGCTGTCATCTTTATCATTTGCTCATATTCCTTGCAGGTCCCCAGCTCTGATTCCTAAGCCAAAGGACTGGGGCCGACATATCTCCGTGTCTGGCTTTTTCTTTCTGAGCCTTGCCTCCAGTTATCAGCCCGAGCCCGAGCTCGCCGCATTCTTAGCTGCTGGGCCACCACCTGTATATATTGGGTTTGGCTCAATAGTTGTGGATGACCCAAACTCTATGACATCTATGATATTTGAAGCCATACAGAAAGCCAGAGTCCGTGCCCTAGTATCTAAAGGCTGGGGAGGTCTCGGTGCCGATTCTCTTGACCTGCCGGAAGGGGTGTTTATGCTTGGAAACGTTCCTCATGACTGGCTGTTTAAACACGTGTCATGTGTGGTTCATCACGGTGGTGCTGGAACTTCAGCTGCTGGGATTGCTCTTGGAAAACCTACAGTGGTTGTTCCCTTCTTTGGCGACCAACCTTGGTGGGGAGCAATGATACATCGAGCTGGAGCAGGGCCAGAGCCAATACCGTATAAGGATCTAACTGCAGATAAGCTTGCTGCTGCCATTGCCGAGGCACATAAACCGTCGACTTTGGAGAAGGCAGAAGAACTTGGGGTCCGCATCAGCAAAGAAAAGGGATTAGAAGACGGTGGGAAAAGCTTTCACGATCACCTCGATTGGAATTCGCTTCGCTGCTCACTTGCACCGAATAGAGTCGCTGTGTGGCAGGTGAAGAAGACACAGGTTCGCCTGAGTGCACTGGCGGCTACAGTCCTCGCCAATGAAGGCCTCTTGAATTTCTCGGATCTTAAACTGTAAGTGCTTCTAAAAAATATGGTGCCTGGCTAACTGTACAGATATCGACACCGTGAATATGACACAGATAATGGACCTTGGGATCCTATCTCCGGTGGTGCTTCCGCACTTTTCGGCACAATCGCAAGTCTGTCGATGGGTGTGGCTGATTTTCCAGTTGAGTTAATTGGGGCCTTAAAACCCAAGCCGGCCTCAACCGCCACGGATAAAACAGCAGCTCTCGACGAGGATGATGTACCTTCCCCGGCAGGCGGGAGTCCATCGCCGCCAAAGGATTTAGCCTCAAACTCACAATCGCAGTTGAGTTCGTCATCAGGAAGCCAAAGCGGGCCAGTAGAGCGTTCAACATCAACAGATCAAAAGTCGGAACAAAGGTCTTCTTCCCAGGCTACAAAAGAAACCAAGAAGCAATTCGACCCCTCCGCTATCACCTTGGAATCTGCCATTGGAGCTTCTAAGGGGATATCCCGGGTAGTTGGTGCTGGCATGAAGTCACCGATGGACTTCACGTTGGGTTTGGCTCGCGGTTTTCATAATGCTCCTAAACTATACGGCGACGATACCGTGCGCCCCCAAGAAAGGGTTACTGGCTTTCAGAGCGGGTTGAGAGCTGCAGGAAAGGTATGTTCACTTCTATTATATTCCCATTCGTACGCATCGCACCCCACCGCTCCAATTTGAAGTGCTCGAGATCTATATTCCCACCCTGCCCACTATTATGTTCTGGGTGGGGGTACCAGGAAACATATTCGCCAATGGTGATATAGGCTCTGTTATATCTGTCCAATTGTGTTTGCCAGTCTCAATGATAGGGTAGCTGACTGTGCCCAGGGCTTTGGATATGGATTCTATGACGGTATCTCCGGGCTTGTTACCCAACCCATGAAGGGGGCCGAAAAGGAAGGGGCAGCTGGCTTCATCAAAGGTATAGGGAGAGGTATTGGTGGACTCGTTTTGAAGCCCGGTGCTGGTAAGTGATTGCATCGACATCCCCTGGTATATCTGCTAACAGTGGCCTAACCAGCGATTTGGGGACTCCCTGGCTACACGATGATGGGATTGCACAAGGAAGTCCGGAAAATGTTCGGAGCAAGTGTTCAGGCCTATATCATATCGGCCAGAACTGCCCAAGGGTACGAGCAGTGGAGAATCTCGTCCAAAGATGAACAGCAATATATTATAAGCCGTTGGCAGGGGCTTAAATCCAAACCTGCTGAATCATCGCGTCATGATAGTGGGAAAGGAAAACAAGTTCCAAACGTGCACTCTAGTGGTGATGGGTCGCAGGCTCATAGTGCGAACCTGGAGGATGAAGAAGCTTTGCGCCGTGCTATCGAAGAAAGCATTGCACATGCTGCCGGACCCAAAACAGATGACATCTCCGAAGCTGATCAAAAGGCCGCTCTCGAAGCAGCTATCCAGAGAAGTGTCTCCGATTCCAGAGGACCTTCGACTGCTACACACGTAAATGAAGATACAGAAGAAGAAGAACAACTCAAGCGTGCTATCGAAGAGTCCATGCGCTATCACGATCGGGATGTATCAGCAACAAAGACAGATGAAGATATTGTTATGGAGTACATCAAGAAACAGAGCCTCGCCGAGGAGGAGCACAGGCAGGCAATGCACAAATCCGCGTCATCTGGAGACAAAGAATGACCATAGTAAGTTCTGATTAAGAGTAGACTATGAGAATAGCTAGAACGCCGAAATTAATGCCTCATTTCGTCAAATCCACTGTCTTGTGGGAACTGGTAGAGCTGCTGGATATCTCTCGGCTGCCTTTGTATCAAGGCTTAATTAAGACTGCCGAAAATGAACCAAAATCCCCACTGTGATTTGAAAGGTATTCAGGTCGTATTGGCCCCATCCTGGTGGCATTTTATATAACTTTCTGCCACACACCTGCATATAAATCATTCACAACGCCCCGAAGTAGGGGAGGAAGGAAGTAGGAAGGCGTATTCCCGAACGAAGATTAAGTATTCAACGAGCGAAGCCAACCTCTCCATCTCCATATATCTGCGTGTATATAGCTCCGTCCATGTACTGCAACCCATATAGAAAGATTTCAAATACGAAGCTTTTTAGCGATGTGGTTAATCTCAGCATCGTCCGCAAATGAACCCTCAAGAGCTTCACGGATAAACGCGTCTGCTTCATCCTCCTTGTCATCCACTATTACGCTGGCGCTAATAGTTGACATCTTCTCCAGTGCCCCGGATCCGCCTTCACTGCCAAAGTTGTCATAGCCACGAGGGTTCTTGAAACCTGGACGATCGAGACTATCGAGAGGGTTGGGACCAAGTGAACCATTGTTCTCAGCCGCTCGGTGTTTACCTACCCTCAGTTCATTAAGCTTAACATGACTTTCCGTCCCAGGGTAATCTTCAGGCCATACCCAGCCGAGACCATCGTTGTTTTGCTTCGACATTGCCCATCGCCGAAGCTCCCGAACTCCTTGTAGGCCAATGTTGAGATCCGATGCGTAAATCATTAGCTCCATGGCTTCTCGCTCATAGCAACGGCCGAGAATGCTATCAGGGGGAAATATGGCATTCGTTTCCGGGCTTTCTTTGTCATACCATGTGTAACCCCGCATGCATGGTGGGAGGCCTTGCGATATGAGGTCTTCGTACGTAGAACTTGAGCGAAACCACAGCCTTTGATTTCGGAGATGGTTGAGTCAATGTGAGACACCTGCCCTCGATGAAGATGTTTCCGGTCGGCGATACTGCCTCGAGTGTTCTAACACGTAAGATATTTCCTTGACAACCAGGACGTGATCAATGACTCCCTGGTCATCGACGGGCATGAGACGCACGACATCCCCTTCAATGATTTTTTCCGCACCCAGCCAGATCCCTCGGCACTTGAATTTAGCGTGGAGGGATTCTGACGCCGCCTCCGGAGAATTTGAACCGGGAAATATCCTCGTGAATGCGCAAGGATCGAATGGAAATAGTTTGGACATCATGTGAGCGGTTGGCATGATATTACTTTCCCACAGGGTTTGATCCTGGCCGTGTTGCAACTCTCGTAACATGGAGAATGGTCTAATGTGGCTGAGTTTCACATTTAACTTTGTTGGCGTCGATTGGGAAAGCGAGTCTGATGGAAGGACCTCAACGCAAATCGTTGGGGCCGATCTTTTCTTTCCTTTCAAGGCTGAAAATGCGAGATCTTCAACACGTGCTTCGCCTGGCTCTGGAGCGGACATAACCCGGCCTGCTTCCCATTTTGGCCATCCACCAAACTGCCCTGTCTTTTCGTCAAAGAGCTTCAGGTACTGCGTGCTCTCATCCATACGAACTGCGGACTCGTCGTTGTAAAAAAGCACAATTTCATTCTCTCTCGGCTGGAAGGAATGACATTCGTGGAGAATCGAATTGTATTCCACGTGGGGGTTGAAGAGGCGATAGCTCCAGCCCATTGGTTCATTGTAGTTGAAATCCAACGCCAAGGCCAAGTTCCGGGCCTTCATATTATGGCTTCGATATAAGAGATCGATATACTTTTGGGCAGGGTTGATATCCAAGGCATCTGCTGGCACCGCCTGGGGCTTGCGCCCGGACAGCCTCTGCCCACCTGGCTTCTGATAGGACTTGTTGGGTTTGCAATTGACACACTCACATTCGGTCTGCCCTCCACTCATCAAGTGCTTAAAGTGGACAAAGAACTTAATTGGAGAGTCAAATTTTCCCTTCGGGTGTCCAAAAAGATACCTGTCAACCTGGAGGTACGTTAGACTCATTATGAACTTGATAATCGATGCATTAACTCACATGTGTGCCGTTTTTCCGCGTCTTTGTGTAGATTCGATAGTGCTTGGGCAAGGCCGACAGTATGTACGTTGTATCTGTCATCCATGTTTTTTATGTGACAAAATAAAGAGTTATTGTTATTGGCGCTCTGCATAGCGGAGTAGACATAGAACATAAATGAATATGGTGCAAGAAGAAGTGTGCAGGGGATTGCCCAAGGTTTGTGTTCCAGGTGGAAGTGGGTTTGAGTGAGATTGAACAACGGATAGGACGGTAAAAAAAAACGCGCATGATGGACTCTTTGAGAAGAGAGAAAAAAAATAGACTCGTTGAAATATATCTTACTGGACCTTTTGATGGTGATATGATATGAGAGTGTGCTTGAAGAATACAAAACTGTAGACGTACCTTTTCGAGACTGCCCAATATTATCCATCCACTGGGACGCCAACGACCTATGATA